GCATGTTGGTGGCAGCTCCTGCTAGGGCTGTGGACGGTCACACCCACCTTGGCTGGAGATGAACTGCTCAATGTCTGCATGAACACCCAACACCATAAGACAGAGCCCGGCCCAGAAGACAAGCTCTACGTGGAGGTACAGGGGTCACACCTGGTCTAAGGGTGGGAAGGGGTACAGATGCCAAGATGGTCTCTGGACACCCATTTACCCACATCATTGGTTCCTTAGGCTGGATCTGAGCAAAGGCAACTAAGAGGAGACCGTACCTTTTTAGACCAGAGCAGCCAAATGATTCAAAGTTCCTGTTTCTGAAAAGCTCCAGCAACTCTGAGCTGGGTTAAATGGTGATCCTGAGGCCCACTGCTGGTTCTGTGTAGATTAAAACAAGATGTCCTACTAACAGGTCCCGGGGAAACACAGTGACTTAGATGATCCCTCCCCAGGCTCCAAAAGGCAACGACAGTGATGTCAGAAGAGCAACAGAGCAGAGTCCTTCTCTCCTGACATAGCCCCCATTCCCCTGGGGCTTACTGGGGCTCTTCCCTGTACCTGCTTCCCCCAAAGACATCCCAGGAGCTGAGACCCCATAAGCTATGCTCCTGGAGGACTGCAGGGAGGTCCGTGTACAGTGCCTTTTGCCCTGTGGGTGAATATTGACAGGTCATCAGAATTCCTCCTATCCAGGGGGTTGCTGGCCTAGAGGCAGTCCAATGGCTCGGGCCTTTTCCTAAGGGACATTTTCCCCCTGCCACCCTCTGCCCTAGACACCCCCAACACCCAGTCTCTTACTGCCATGCCATTTGCTTCTTCCACCTCCAGTGCATCCCCTGGAAGGACAACGCCTGCTGCACGGCCAGGACGAGCTGGGAAGTCCACCTGGACGTGTCCCCACTCTACAACTTCAGCTTAGTTCACTGTGGACTGATGATCCCGGGCTGTCAGAAGCACTTCATCCAGGCCCTCTGCTTTTTGGAGTGCTCCCCGAACCTGGGGCCTTGGATCCAGTTGGTGGGAAGCCAGGGATGGGGAGATGGGTGCGATGCCCTGTTACTATGAGCGGAGGCTTCCATTGGAGCATATGCTGGCTTCTCTGGGTTGCTAATAGGAACAGGGGATGCTGTCCCCCTGTGGACAAGAGTGGAGCCAGAGACCCTGCTGGAGAAAGGGTTAGAGAGGAGGCCACCTTTAGCATGGTCAGATGAGAACAGTGGGGAGAGGGACTGTCACCAAGGGAGGCTTGGTAGAGTTAGATGGACTTGAGTTTGAGTCCCCTCTTCTGTACCTGCCAGCTGTATAGCCTGGGACAACTATTTGACCTCTTAGCCTCATTGTTCTCATCTGTGGAGTAATGCTTAAAGACTTCACGGAGGTGAGCAGGAGGCACCTGGCACAAGTACCATGGCAGCTATTAGTAGTCTTCAAATTGCTACTGACATTCGTGTCTCCTGCTATGCCTACACCAGGTGCACCCGAGTGGGCAGCGAGAACGTGTTCTGGGTGTGCCGCTGTGTCGAGAGGACTGTGAGCAGTGGTGGGCAGATTGCCAGGAAGCTTACACTTGCAAATCCAACTGGCATGGTGGCTGGGCCTGGAGTCAGGGTGAGTGGCACCGACAGGCCCCTGGGGGAAGCCCATCCCGGGCACAGGTGCAAACTCCTCTTATTCCCCAGGGAAAAGGGTGAGGATGTGGGAGTGGGAGTAGGGGGAGGTGAGCTGTCTGTTCTCGATTCCCACAGGGAAGAACCGCTGCCCCGCAGGAGCCCTCTGCCGCCCTTTTCCGCATTACTTCCCCACCCCAGCTGAGCTGTGTGAGAAGATTTGGAGTAACTCCTTCAAGGCGAGCCCTGAGCGCAGGAACAGCGGGCGGTGTCTCCAGAAGTGGTTCCTGCCTGCTCAGGGCAACCCCAACGTGGCTGTGACCCGCCACTTCGCCAGCCCTGCCCCATCCTGGGGGCTCTCCCCAAGCCTCATGGCCTTTCCTCTGCTCCTGTCCTTCCTGTCCTGAAAGCTGCTGCTGTTCCCGCCCACACTCCTGCTCTCCCACCAGGTACCGGTCAGGCCAGGGCCACCTTCTTCCTCAGGCCCAACCCCAAAAGGAGCAGCACAGGCCAGGGATGGGGTAAGCTGTTGCAGCTCCAGCAGCCAGTGCCAGGCCTCACCTGCTTAGTCCTTCTCTATGGCTCTGCTCTGCCTGAGCCGGCCCTAGAGGTGTTGGGAGTTGGGGTGTAGGTGACCTGTCCTCCTGCCTTCACGATAAGGGACTACAATGGCACTGTAGACCCTTGTCTGTGCAAGCGCACCCCCTTCCCATGGCACAGCTCATGGGGACAGTGCTGGACTCTGATGGTGCCTCCAATAAAATGGCAGTTCACCTCTCCTCTCTGCCTGACCCACTTTTCTCATTTTAAAGTTTGCCAGAGGGCACATAGGCTGCACAGAGAGGGAGAGCAAGTGAGAAAGCATCCCCCATGGAGCACAGCCATGCTTCAATCCCTTCTCCTCCATCTCCCTCCCACAGGATGTGTGTGCGCACACACAGACACACGCACACAAGCACGAGTCTGGGACTCCAGTGGCACAGTCCTCCATGTACGATCGAGCCGCCTTCGTCACCAACCCGCCGGCTGGCCCAGCCCGTCCTATCTTCCCTCAGTGGGCAGAAACCCAAGATGCACAGAGCGGGAGCCACTCTGCCTGCTGCCCTGAAATCTCCAAGTTGGGTGACTTGCCTAAGAATGGCTAACTTCACACAAGCCGCATGTCCTCAGAGCTCCTCGCTGGAGTATTGTAAACACCCCCTTCTTTTCAATAAGCTGTATACCCTACAGATGACCCAAAGCCAGGGCGAGGGATGGGGCCAGCCAGACCACTGGTCCTATTGTGAATGCCAAAAATCAAAGCAGCTATCTCAACAGCGTCCACGGTTCCCTTCTAAACCTTTGTTTATTTCCAGAATCATTACATCTTGGTGTGGAATTTTGGAAACCTGAGTTCTAATCTGGCTTCCTATTTTCTATATGATTTTTGGCAACACCTTTGACCTCCATGTAAGACCGTCTTGATTTCTCTCTATGCAGAGAGAGATGATAGTTGGATCAGATTATTTTTTTCCTTCAGATTTTTGCCATAGGGTGTGTGCGCTCGAGAGAGAGAGACAGAGAGTGAGCAAAAGTGAGAAATCACCCCCCAGGGGGATGCCTCAATCCCTCTCCTCCATTCTCCTCTTGGGACTTCAGGCACACACTGCCAGGTCTGGCACATGAACAGAGTCAGCCAGCCAGGTGGAATCCAGCATGTTAATGGCTACACCACCTGCTGGTCTCTGGACCAACTTAGTAAAAAAAAAAAAAAGGAGAGAAAAAGTGAGCATTCTCTTTTGCAAGGATAGTGTGTGCTTCTCAGGCAGTGCCATATCCTGAAGACAGACAGGAACATTAGAATTGAGCTGGACAAGTGGCATGGACTTAAGCCTTCTGGGAAATTTGAATTTTTTTAACTTTCACAAGCGGACTAGGAGCTGACCTGCCACTCAGAGCCTTCGGAGCCTGAAGCCTGGCAGTGTGCCAGCTCTGAATGGTGCCTTCTCTACAACCTTTTCTTTGATAGCTTCTAGCACGAGAAGGTACTAGCAGGGCTGTCCTTGAGTTGGTGACTTTTCTAGCAATGGCTCTTTCTTGTCAGCCACTAGTAAGCCCCGTGTGCCAATTAAACTTGGCCTCCATGCCCTCTGCACCTGCCTTACAGATGCTCACCCACTGAGCAAACCTTGCATGGTAGGGCACGGAGACACAAAACCAATAGGAGAGCCCCTCCAAGCGTGGTGCTCAAGGTCTGCGGTAGATGACAGCAGTAGTGGGGGTGAAGTGCTTCTCACAAGTCTGCAATAAAGGAGCCGTAGGTGTGTATGGGGGAAGATGGAGAACTGAGAAGGCCCAACAGAGAGATGAGGCTTGAGCCTCAGTGAGGGCCACTCACAGAGAACAGAAAGGAAGTGCTAGCCAGGACCCAATGGACTGGAGGACTGGAGGAACGAAATCTTGGCATGACCACACTCGGTGGAGGGTGTGTGTCTCTCTTTCATGTGTATGCATGAATTTTCATGAAGAAAGAAAAAAATTAAATTTTCCCAGAGGATGCATGTCCTTGCCAGAGAGACAGACAGAAGGAGAGAAATCAAGGAAGCCCCCCGCCAATGAGGCATGGTTATGCCATAATCCCCTCTTCATTTCTCCCTCCTTTCAGGATTTGGAGCACACACACATAACGTGCATGGTATAATTTTCAAGCTGCATGACATGGGATGGGGATCCCATGATTGGCCATATGGGATCTAGCTGCTTTAACCACCAGGACACAGACTGGCCCCCAAATATTAAACAAAAATACAGCTGTAGGTATAACCCATACAAAGCAGGACCTTCAGTTACTCTTAAGTGTTCAATAAATTGCAGCTTCAAAATACATGCAGATAAAAATCTCTTAAGAATTGAAGACTATTGGGACCAGCAGATGGCATAATGGTTACATTGCTGGACTCCTCTGTAGTAGATCACAGTTTGAGTCCCAGACTCAGTGACTTAAAAACTCATGCTGGGGGACCAGCAGTTGGCGTAATGGCTATGTTGCTGGACTTCTATGTAGTCAACTGCGGTTCAAGTCCTAGACCTGGTGGCTTAAGCTCACGCGGGGCACACGTGAATGCATGGCCAAGATCCCGAGAGGAGAATGGAGGAGAAGGGATTTTGGTGTGGCCATCCTCTCTGGGGGGTGATTTCTTGCTTTCTGTCTCTGTCTTTCTGGCGAGTGTACATACCCTATAGCAAAAACCTCTCAAAAAAACCAAAAAACAAACAAACAAAAAACCTCACACTGGGCACATGTGTGTGCATATGCCTAAAATCCCAAAAGGAGACTGGAGAAGAAGGGATTGTGGCATGGCCATCCTGCCTTTTGGGGGGGGG